CTGAGTTACTTCTTTGTCTCGAAGAAATTCTTGTCTCTTGTTAGAAGATTGTATGAAATTAACAAGAATATTGACTTTACCGAAAAAATCACTAACATCTTTGTGAGTTTTAGCACATGCAACAAGTGCCAATTGAAGTTGATGGGTGAAACAATGCACATAATAAGCAGATGGATTCTCATTTTGGATTAAAGTTCTCAAACCATCAAACTTACCTCGCATATTGCTGGATCCATCATATACTTGCCCCTAATGCTAGATAAATTCAAACCATTAATAGACAACAACTTTTCAAGTGCCTCCTTAAGTGACTTAGCACTTGCTTCTTTAACACTTACAATTCCAAGAAACCTTTATTTTACCAAAGTTTCACTATTAACATAGCGAACAATAACAACCATTTGTTCTTTACCATCAACATCACCAGATTCATCAATCAAAACACAAAACACATCATCCCTAATATCACATACAATTTGTTGAGTTATTTCACATGCACAAGCAGCCGCAAGATCCTTTTGAATCTTAGGGGCAATCGTAATGTTATTTCCTGGAGCACAATGTATTACACTAGTGATCTATGGGTTAATTTCCTTTAGAGTGTCCACCAACTCAAGAAATGGCCCCTTAAATAAATAGTTAATGGACTCGTTACTCCCTTTAAATGGCATACCACACCTCAAAAGAAACTTAGTAGCTATAAGAGATGTGTTTACATGAACACGATATTCAACATTCATTTGCTTAGTTTGATTACAAACGCAGCCTTAATACTTTGGTTTGGGTTCATGAGAGCGTAACTCATATGCACACAATCAACATGACTATTGGAAGAAGTAACATGATTAGCCAATCTTTGAGCATTCTTCCAATCACCAAAACCCTCTCCCACAAAGTGATCTTCCCCATATTTAGAGACATTTTAAAACAAAAAACATGGCAAACAAAATGCTAGGTCTTTATATTCACTATAATCAATCCATTCATACAAATCAAACTAATTTTTTTCAAAATCGATGCCTTTGTTTACCTTGAACAGTCTAAGGGTAAACGACATTCTAAGGAGGTTGATGACGACCTATTTTTAAATAAGCTTTCCTTACCTCATTTTGAAGGTCAGGATGATAGCTTGAAATTGGAGGCCTAATTCTTGGATCTATTTCCAACAATTCATAATCAACAACTTTAATACCTTCACTTGGATGTTGAGTTTCTGATGCTTCTAGATTTGCTTAAGAAGTAGTTTTGTCTCTAGAAAGCACAGGAAAAATTTTCTTCATCCTATAAAGAGAATAATGAAATAATTTAAAATAGTTATTCAAAATAAAAAGAGAACAGGAAAACCAATTGATTATAAAGAAAATCATTTATGAGAAATTGAGAAAATTGAATTTTTTTAACAAATTGGGGTTTTATGGTTCATCTCAAAAAAGAGAAAATAATAAGTTGAAATTGAAATACTCACTTTACCTTTGATTTTTAATCACCAATAAATAATTGCAACCAAGCCAAATGAAAAAATTAGAGAAAGAAAATAAAAAATTGACAAATATGAGAGGAAGAAACAAGGACGAGAGATTCTAAGATTTGAGAGAAAGAGAAAAATAAGTGACTGAGAGAGAGAGAGAGAAAAGTGAAGGAATTTGTTACTATGAGAGAGAGAAAAATGAGTTAATAATATTTATTTATTTATATTAATTATTATGTGTTTATATATAACATAAAGAAATTAATTATTCTAATAATAATTTGTAATATATATATATATATATATATATATATATATATATATATATATATATATATATATATATATATATATATATATATATATATATATATATATATATATATATATATATATATATATATATATATATATATATATATATATATATATATATATATATATATATATATATATATATATATATATATATATATATATATATATATATATATATATATATATATATATATATATATATATATATATATATATATATATATATATATATATATATAATATTTAAAAAAATTATTAAAAAAAAACTGGTGTGGCTGTAAGTCCGCCCATGTCAGGGGCGGATCCAGACCTTATATATTGGTGTGGCTAAACATGAAAGAAAGTATGTACTAAATTATATTCAAAATAAGAAATAATATTGTTAAAAAAGTACATTTACAATGAAAATCTCCTTCTATGCATTTCTTGAAAATGAGTTAAAATAACATCATTGTTAATTGTTCTAAGAACATTTCTTTCTATAAAAGTTACATGACGATCATTTAATCATTGATCACCCATTTTGTTACATAGTTGACTCTTCACAAACTTCATAGCTGAAAATACACGTTCCACGCTTGCAGTTGCTACCGGTAAGACTAAAGCCAACTTCAGAAGCTTATAAACTAAATCAAATGTGTTGCACTTATTTGTTTTCACAAATTTTGCACAAAGATCTGAAATTCCATTTAAATTTGCAAAATTTGGGTCACATCAAACATTTCTAATATAATTCTGAAGTTGATGTCACACCACCACTTCCGACACATTTACAAAACTATTTGGATAAAGTTCAACCATCCTCAATAGTTTTTTCATATCAAAAGCTGCAAATGACGATGAAGAACTCAAACATGAAACACATTGTAAAAGTTCAGTATTCTCTTAATCAAACCTAGCATCGAGTTCATGCAATTGCAAATCTAAAACACTAAACAAATAATCATGCTTATAATGGTTCAAATTAGAAACACTAGAAGTTGTAGTATGTCGTCTAGGCTTCTTCCCTTGCACATACGGTGCATCCATATCTGGCACATCCATATCATGCTTATTACAAATTTCCATAACCTTAGATATAAGTTCTTCCCATCCATCATTCCTCATTTCTTGTAATTCTTGTTTGGTAGCATTGACAATTGACAAAGTATTCAAAAGATCTTGATCACGCTTTTGTAGTGCTACACTCAAATCATTTGTAAATCCTAAAATCTCAACCATCATATATAACATGAAGATAAAATAAAAAGACTGAAGAACATCTAGCAAAAGCATAGTTTCACCATTCAAATGATGTATCCTTCCCGACTTCTTCAAGTACTCCAATAATGGCATCGTACAAAGTCATTAAATTAGTGAGAGTCCTAAAGTGGAAACCCCAACGAGTGTCACCCGCTCTAGCAATAGATGATTCTTGATTTAATCCACTACCAGTCTCTATTTGGCCATATTCAATCAATTTAGCAAACTGAGTTACTTGTTTGTCTCGAAGCAATTTTTGTCTCTTGTTAGAAGATCATATGAAATTAACAAGAATATTGACCTTACCGAAGAAACCATTAACATCTTTGTGAGTCTTATCACATGTAACAAGTGCCAATTGAAGTTGATGGGAGAAACAATACACATAATAAGCAGATGAATTCCCATTTTGGATTAATGTTCTCAAACCCCCAAACTTACCTCGCATATTGCTGGCTCCATCATATCCTTACCCCCTAATGGTAGATAAACTCAAGCCATTAATAGACAACAACTTTTCAAGTGCCTCCTTAAGTGACTTAACACTTGTTTTTTTAACACTTACAATGCCAAGAAACCTTTCTTTTACCAAACCTTCACTATTAACATAGAGAACAACAACAACCATTTGTTCTTTACCAGTAACATCACCAGATTCATCAATAAAAACACAAAACACATCATCCGCAATATCACACACGATTTGTTGAGTTATTTCATATTGGGAACAATGATAATCTGTCTAATATTATTCTGTTAAGTATTTATTATTGTTCAAATTAAATGCACCCTGCTAAAGACTTATTTGGATCTTAGCAAAATAATGTTGTTTTAAGCTAAGGGCATGTTTGGACCAAACCACATCATTGTTTTTTTAATGAGCCCAATTGAGTGTTTTTACAAATAGTTTTTGACAAAAAAAAAATTGCAAAGAAATTTGTCTTGTTCCAAACTGCATTTTAAGTGGATTAGGCGGAACATGATAACTTAAGATATAAAGTTGAAAATTTCGGTCTAATTCACTAAAATAATGGGTCAAAAGATTTGATCTGATAGATTAGATCCTTTCTGTCCTTCTTAATTTTATCTATAAAAATAAATCAGTCTATATGTATTGATAAAAATAAAGATAAATAATATTTTAAAAAGTTTTTAAAGAAAAAATATTATTAATTAAAGTGGTGTGAATGGTTATTTCACAATTTTATGAGATTTAAATTTTGTAAGGTCAAATTTTTATTATGAATTAACAATATATAGACAAAATGTTATTATTATCTTTGACCATATATTTAGATTTTGACTTTAGAAAATATAAAATTTGTTTAAATAACGTTTTTCTTTAACCAATTCTAATAATTAATTTAATATTTTAATTTTAAATAAATTACTATTAATTCCATCTTGTCTGATATAATAAAAAATTAAATAGTGATGAATCGGAGCGGTTGACCACCGTTTAAAAAATTAAAAAAACACATATATTTTCAAATTTTATAATTTGCAATATGTTTTCTCCTATATTTGACGCATAGAGCAGAGAAAAAAAAATAATTTAGTTTTTTAGTTTTACAAACCATTATCCATTTTTGTCATCTTTGTTCCTAGCCTAGGTGATGCCATAACATTGGATACGGGGACCAGTAAACCATAATGAACGGCATAGATGATGCCACGTGGACAACAAATTCATTTATCGTGGATGGATTAGAGAAATACAACTATGAAGTAGAAGGTATGATGCTGATGCGTAGCCGACTCAACATTGTGCCACTCCCAACATTCAGACGCAAACAAACATCCAAATTAGCGTAAGCATCAAACACTTTTCATCCAACGATACTCATTGCTTCCTTATACCCACCACTTTCAATCTCCACCCTCCATTTCTTTATTCATCTTTTTGTCTTCTTAGTCGTGTAGCTTTTATGTCTTGTTGAACTTGATTATTGATTTTTGAACAGAACACACAATGTTGGTTCCTCCATGGCTCAAACCACTTCTCAAGACAACATTCTTCAATGTCTGTCGGATTCACAGCGACGCCGCGAGAAGCGAATGTAACATGTTTTGTTTGGATTGTAATATTGATGCTTTTTGCTTCTATTGTCGTTCTTCAAGACACAAAGATCATCAAGTCATTCAGGTAGGATTTTCTCAAGCACATTTTACTTACAATGATTTAAACTAATTCATTTCAGTTAAACCGATAGCTGTGTAAGAACATCAGATACAGATATAGTTCGCGAATTCGAAAAAGAAATTAATTAAATATGATTGTTTATTTTCTTATATAATTAGATAAGGAGATCTTCATATCATGATGTAGTGAGGGTGGGTGAAATTCAGAAAATGTTGGATATTAGTGGAGTTCAAACGTATGTGATTAATAGTGCTAGAGTTTTGTTTCTGAATGAAAGGCCACAACCAAAATCTGGAAAAACAGGGGCTTATATTTGTGAGATTTGTGGAAGAAGCCTCTTAGATCATGTTCGTTTCTGTTCTTTGGGATGTAAGGTAAGATATTTCCTTTAATAATTATGAATATTAATTATTATCATTTTGTTTTAAATTTCTTTTCACAAAAACTTTTTCTTATCTCTAATTCTTTTATTTGATTATATCCACCACCTACATTATTTTGAAATATTCTATAAAATACAAATGCATTATTTGGAAAGCTTATCACACCATAATCATATTCTCTCCATTGACATTTTAACCTATTTACAAAATAACCCTATATAGTATAATAGCTGCTAGTTAATATTATTCATGTATTTTCCTCTTTTTATATTAAAAAAAATAATTGATTTTTTAGTTGTTGTTATTGTGGTTGTACCTAAAAAAAGATAATTGTTGAATAATATATAGATAGGAACATAGAATAATAATGTATATAAAAATAATTATAGTAAGGAATATATGGTTGGTCTAATTAATTATTGTGCTGGCAATGACTGAATTAGCTTGTAGGAATAAAGAGAAATGGGAATGCAAGCTTTGTTTTAGATGCTAATAACAATGAAATATCAACAATGGAAGAAGGAATGTCAAGAAGATCCATTTCTTCAAGACAAGAAGAAGAAGAATTGCGTGAAGGCTCACAACAAAGCATGTATCTAGCCACACCTCCTTCAAATGCAAGAAGAAGAAAAGGAATTCCTCATAGAGCTCCTTTTGGTTCCTAAACGTTTTGTTTTCTCATTCCCTTTCAAATTTGAACCTGACTTGCTTGCAACCGAAGAATTCATGTAGTCAAATTTCAAAGTTCTTTTAGATGAAAATTTAACAATTTTAATTCCAATCAATCAGACCGTCAATAATATCTTAAATACATGTATTTGCATTCTTTAAAATCAATAGATATTCAAAATTTAAGTCAGATATAATTTTTTTTAAACTTTTGAAACAATAAATTAAACCTATTGGAGAATTTATTTGTGTAATTAATTTATTTTAAAGTGAAAAATGAAATAGGGTTGGTGGAGATAGGGTTACATTTGTCATTATTGTCCATGAAGTGGGAAAGTAAAATAAAAGGGTATATAGGAAAGTTCCTTCTTTTGGGGTATGAGTTCAAAAACAACAAATTGTGCCTTGTGATGAATCAATAATGCATATTTGTTTATGTTTGAATAGTTGTAAGTGTATATGTGATTAAGCAATCAAAAAGCTATACTTTGTGAACTCCGTTTCATAGTTTTTTAATGCCCCACCATCCATATGGGACATTTACACCAAGTTAATCACTTTTTTTTTAAGTTGTTTAAAAAATGATTATTAAATTATTATTATTATTATTATTATTGTTATTATTATTATTATTATTATTATTATTATTATTATTATTATTATTATTATTATTATTATTATTATTATTATTATTATTATTATTATTATTATTATTATTATTATTATTATTATTATTATTATTATTATTATTATTATTATTATTATTATGAAAATATGCAATGTAGTGGGTACAATCATTCTTTACCACTTGAAAAGCTCAAGGGTAATTCATTTCCCTAAACTCAACTTTCAATTTATCTTAGTTACCTAGATATTTTGTTAGGAATATTAAGTAAATGGAAAGGGTAACAAATATTTTGTTTTTATAGTATTATTTTTGTTATTGTTATGAGTGTCATTTTCTCTGCTTAATTAATTAATTAATCAATGAGCCAAAGCAATTAGGTAGAGTAGATATGGATTGATGGCTACTCAAAAGGTTTTAATTTTTATAATGCACATCGTCCAAATTTAACCATCCCATGAAGTAGTTACACTAGACATTTTTTAAAAGGTTTTTCTTTTTTTAAATATAGAAAGTAAAAGGAATTAAAGAAAAGGTAAAATAAGAGAGAACGAAATTAACGGAGGGAAATAGTTTTTGGAAGTAGAAAAAGCTTCAATGTCAAACATCATACGCAATTATACATGATCCCTAATGACCAACCAAGCTGCTTTACCTATCCCTTTTTCTGGGCCATTTGAAAGAATTTATATTGCACTAAACTGAAAATTTATATTGCATATGGATAGATTTACATGGTGAAAAACGGATCGCACTCACATGTTTAATTTGTTAAATATATAACTTCTTGGTTTATATATTCAATAAAGTCGAAGAAGATAGTGCTCGAAGGAGTTAATCTTAACAAAGTCGAAATAGATAGATGTTGAAAAAGTTAATTTCAAAAGAATTGAACTTAGAATTTATTTTGAACTGGGTCGGGACCTGTCCCTCTGTTAGATAGGTCCAACAAGGCCCAATTCTCCCATGTCGGACACACATCTCAACAAGGCCCCTTCAGTCGGACAAAGCCCTACGTAATACAGGGAGAACTCACGTGTCTCCCTCATGGACTTCACGTGTCCCCCACGCTGGGAAAAATCATCAGGCAATTACCCACTTCCGAAAGAGTTGGTCAGCCCACCTTCTGAAGATCACGGGGCAGTTGATCCAGGGCGAGGAACACATGTTGGTCTTTCCTACGCCATGTAAGCCCTGACAGTTACCTGTGTTGGGCTTGACAATTTGGCCCAATGCAAAGTAACCGTTGATCCTGCACTGAGGGCACATTATAAATACCCTCTTTCACTAGAGGGTCAAGTATTATATTCTCTACACTTATTCTCTCTGTACTTGCGCTTTCTGACTCTGTTACTCACTTAAGCATCGGAGTACCTTGCAGGTACACCCCCTCCTCCACAACACCGGTGAACACAAGAGTTCACGATGCGTGGCAGACTGCCGATTCCTTTCTGATCAGGTGAGATCAGTGGCGCCGTCTGTGGGAACCCTTTGCTCCCCCGTTCTTTCTCCTATCCAAGCATAGAAGCTCAAGAACCAAAGCAACTTTTAATTTCTGTTTGATCATGGCCAGCTGTTGCAGTGAGAATTAGATATCAAGCTATTAATTAACTTGAACCACAAATCTTTAAATATTCACCACCGAGTTTTGATTTATCCAAAGAAAATGGTAAAGATCGAACAAAAACCCTAAGTGCGCTACGTAACAACGAATCTAAGAGATCGGGGGTTGGTTATACTAAGGGAAGGTATTAGCACCTTAAGTATATGTAGTACTCTACAAGAGCCTCTTGTTTGGTAGTTGTGTTATGGTTAATGCTTGTTTACTAATGGTTATGTGCTAAGGTAAAGACCTATGGGTATACACACTAAGTATGCTCGCCAAGACGTCATATCTCGTGCCTACAAATCCTAACATAGATGGAATCAGAGCAACCGTAGTTCTCCTAACTAGGGTGAAGAACACTTGACTATGGTCAAGGTTCATGGGGAATAAGCATCTATAACAATGATACTTATATAGAGTTAACAAACTCTCTAAGTCTATGTTGAAAGACTAACTAGGGGTTTGACTTTAACAAAAGGCAAAAAGGGGAAAGTGAGTACTCATAGCAATGCTACACACATAAAGTTAACAAACTCTAGATCTAAGCTCTAAGTTATAAGACTCCTAACAAGGTATGCTAAAGGTCTTTACTTGACAAAGTCAAAAGATAGTGGGTTCTAACTTAAGGCTAAGTTGAAAGTCCTAATGACTCTAATAAGGTTAAAGAGAGGTTTGATAACAAATGAGCTATCTATAACATTGAGTCAATAGAGAGACTTTCCTTTGGAATTAGAAACACAAGGCAACTCTTTGGATGAGAGCTAACAAGCTACATCACTTGGGGGGAAATTATCAAAGCTTAAGCACACATATACATCAACTCAAACATGATGAAGATATAATATCATGGTAACAACCAAGAAAGTAAAGCAAGCATGTGACAACATCAAATAAAATAAATAACAAGGTTACAACCAAGTATTCATCTATAGAAGTTTATAATCTAACCAAATGGTTACAACCAAAGGTAAACATAGATGTTATAACATCTAAATGGCTATGAAATAAGGTTCTTACAAGACCAAACATCACAAGTACAAGTGAATCATGCATAAGTCAAAACATTACTTATCATGGCAAAGTTCAAAGTTCAAGATTAACATGCATAAATCATAACAATATTTAAGCATGTATACAAATCAAGAGAATCATACATAAGTCAAAACATTACTTACTGATGCGTTCGCAAGTGCACGGAAATATCGAAGTAATATAAAAGATTTGTCGAACCCACAGAGACCAATGTCAACCTACCGTTATCTGTTGTCACGGCGTAAAGCTAAGGCTAATGGAATAAGAAAGTTAAATGCGAGTGAAATTAAATTTAAAGGAAAGTAAAGGTTATTGGTTTAAGGAAGAGCGGTAAAGGGATATCGGTATGTAATGCTTTAGTTTTCGGGGATTCGACAGGTCACCAGTGCTTTTTAGTCTTTGCAAACACTTTTCAGAAGAAAATACTCGTTTAAAGACTTTTGTCTCACATTGGTTGTTGACGCTAGTCGTAACTCTAAGGCAGAATGTACGCTCTCGCAGTCCCATTCGAGGTTAAAACTACTTTTTGAAAACAAATAAATTCTAATTTCTTTTAAAGCGCTTTCGCTGTGTTTAAAATCAATGCCTAGCTCTTACTATCCGGTTTGAACCCCAGCTTTCGCGTGCCGATTCGTGCCTTGATGAATTTCCAACTTTCATGGCGAAACTACTGTAAATAATTTCTCGCTTTCGCGACGAAGGTTTATTTAGAAGATTTTGATTAAAAACTACGGCCAAAAAGGTGTTTGTAAAAAGGGAAGGAAAACACCGGTTATTATCAAATCTCGTCTTACTAATTTATTACATACCGATAAGACTAATTTAGCTAGACATGATAATTAATGCAAACGGAAATAAACATAAACAACACAATAATAAAATATGCATTATGACGGAAACAAAATAAATATTCAATAAATAAAAACCTGTAAATTGTACTGATCTCGAATCCTTGAGTAGTCCTCCACAATGTCGGCAGGATTCTACTTTGGCGAGAAGTAAAAAGGTACAGGAAGAAATACGGCGGTACAAATGAAAATAAAAAGGAAAGGAAATGGGAAAATAATGCAAGAACGTAAATTCGGCTTCAATGGAAATTTCGGCAGCACTTCAATACGTCGAAGCCCTCCCTCTGGTTCTGTGAATCTCTGGCCTATTTATAGGGGATATTTCATTTCTCAACTTCCAGAGATCATGGGTGAGTTATGGAGGGAGTGGGAGTAACTTCCAATAGTGGACAGTGAGTGGAGAAAGTGTAGGAAGAAATTTAGTTTCAGGTCGTGCAGACTTCTGTTTTATTCTGATACTTGGCTCGTGACGGTCGTCATGGTCATGTGACGATCGTGATGAAGGTGACGACCGTGATACTCGTGACGAGCGTGAGGAAGCTGTGACGAGCGTCACACGCACAAAATCTGTACTTTCTGTTTTTCTTCTCAATTTCTTTCCTTCTTCTTTCTTTTCCTTCCATTTCTTCTTCTATTCTTTCTTTAATCCAAATTCTCCATAATCTGCACAACGAAGTAAATTAACCGTAAACTAGAACATAAATCAAGATAAATTAACAGTAGTCACAAATAAATGCATGTAAATCAAGCCAAATAAACGATATGATTTCGCGTTATTAAACACCCCCACACTTAAACCATTGCTTGTCCTCAAGCAACCAACCAACACGGTAAAAAGAAATAAGCATAATTCGAGACAAAGACACGACGAGACTCTAATCATAC